TGTTATATGGCTTCTTTAACACTGCCATATGAGGTGGCTGTTATTCAAAGGGGTGAGAAACCAGAGGAGGTTCATCCGACTCCTCTGTCTGGAAAACGTGTGAAGAGAGCTGTGGCACAGTTTCACACTCTTGAATCTTACCATTGGCGCATATCATTGGGTGAAAAATGGGGTATAGGATTGTTTCCACATTATGGAGTGACTTTCTTGGCAGATCACATTGATAATCTTACTTACACCTTACAAGCCTTTGCGAATGAAACTATCAAAGGTTTTCAATTTTTGACGGATACTCAAAGGAGTCATAGGTTGACGTTGTTGAAACATGATATGGCTCTTGACTATATTTTGGCTAAACAAGGAGGATTGTGTGTCGCTCTGAATTTAACAGAAGATGCTTGTTATACTTTGATTCCGGATAGTTCTGATAATCTTACTAGTGTGATTGATGCTCTTAAGGTCTTGAGAGATGCTTTTGGAGCATCTGAGGATTCTGGTTGGTCTGCTATGGCTTGGTTGGAAGGCAGATTTGGTTCATTTGGAGCTATGATAGTACAAGGAGTAGTAGCTGTAGCATTGGCTCTRTTGGTGATGGTTTGTTGCTGCACAGTTATGCTGACGTGTGCGAAAGCCTTGATTTTGAAATGGGTTGGTGTTGTGGTGCTGGGAGGTCAAGTTCAGATGCCATTGCTTCGCGGTGATGTGTCAGATGAGGAGGAGGAGTTTGAAGTACATCAGGAAATTCTGGAGATGTACCCTTATTAAGTTGTTTGTTTGAAGTTTTTTCTATAATTTGAGGGCTCTGTTTGTCAGAATGAGTGATTTTATTTGTGATATGAAGTTTTCTCATGTTTTTTTTTTTGTCTATGGAGGTTAGACATAATGTCTTTTGTTTGAATTTTCATTTGTAGGTAAGTGATTTGGGCTTAGATAGATTGATTTTTGTTTTGTTTTTATTTTTTGTTTTGTCATGATTCCAACATTTGAGATTCTGTGTCTTCATATTTACATGATGTAGAGGTTTTGGTACAAGGGGGGTGGACAAGAGTTAAAGGTTCACACAATCAGAGATAAGCTTCAGTGATTAAACTTGTGGTTATAATTTTAAGACACATGACATTGATTTTTGTTTTTAATTTCCATACTGAATGTGACATTTATTTTGCACAAGAGATTGCCGTTTGTTTTTCTGTCATTCCAGGTGATGACATGCGCGTTTTGGTGTTTGAATGGACTTTGGACACTGGACTTTAATGCTCAACTCAGGGACTT